TAAAAATTCAATGACCGCAAATCGTCTCCGTCCGTCCGTTTGCGAACAACACTAGCGGCGAAAGGGTTCAGCCGATTTTCTCCAAAATTGATATTCCTCAATTGATCTGGCTGACGTTGCGGCCCCTTCAATTCAAAATAGATAATTTATTTGTTGTGGGGTACTTTACATGGGACAATTCCCAACTTCCCCCCTTCCCCAAAATGGTTCAATACTTTTTGGTTAAATTTTATTCTTAGATAGTGTGAAGAGCGTTTAGTAGAATGGTGCAGGTCTCATGTTCGTTGAAAACCGTGGTTTAAAAAAAAATTGCACAAGTTCAATTTTTGTTGGAATCCTCCTAAAATATTAGAGATAGAGCTTTTTTTCCGTTATATATAATGTGTGTGTGTGTATTCCTTAAAGATAGATTTTGAAATAAGGACATATACAAAGTTTCGGCAATTTGAGTAATGTTAGCCAAATTTAGAGTGAAAATACGAGCGAGAAAGTACGAGCTGTTTTAGTATCACCAGTTTCCTTTCACTTCGAACGCAACCCAAGAACAAAAAATAAATCGGTTTAATAACTAACATTAATAAGATAATGAATGGAAATACAATTCAAAAATATGTGCTAGAGATAAGATAAAATATGAAATGTAGAACGACAACAACGTCGACTTGAATGAAAGTAGACTTGAAATTTAATATTTGCAATAATCGGATAATTTGTATAAGATGAAACATTAAGATGGTATGACATCTTAGGGAATGCTCTCTCGACCATACTGACAAGAAGAAATCATCCATTCTTATGAGAAACTGGATCTCGCAACCACAGCCAGAGAAAGTAGAAGGGATTTCTTTATTTTCAGATTGAACCCTGACCTATAGTATTCACAGCCGTAAACACACAAGCTCTTTTTCTCTTCCCTTCCTCTCTGAAGAACATTATAAATCTGTCCTAATTAATGGAACTTTTAATTACAAAAGTACGCATTTCATTCATAGACTCGTAACTCCTCTGCTGACGGAAGAGAGCATTCAAAACCTCGCGCTAACCGCGGCTCCGCTGCATTCATAATGTTGTGCAAACGCGGCGCTTGGCGATGAATACGCGCTGCCGCCAGGGTGTCGCGCGCACCCACAAACAGGCGCGCGGCGCGGCGCGGCGTGGCGTGCCGCGAAGCGAAGCGACGGGCGCCGTGAAAGAGCTCCCGCCTTCAGAATAAAACGCGCGCCGCGCCACACTGTCGTTACTGAGACTCCCAGAGACGTTTGCATTGCTCTTTCAACTAATCTGCGTTTATCTTGTCGCCACGCTCTCTCGCGATCCGGCAAGAAAAACTCTTTTCGGAGCCTCGCGAGACGAGCGCCTGTTTTTTGTTTTGCCCGGGCGTGGAGGCGCTCGCGGTTCGCGTCGTTTCTGCGAACACAAGCGGCCGACGGCGGAGGGATTGGGAGTGACAAGCGACCCAAAACTCCAGTGGAATAGCGTGGCGTCCAGAGCATTTGGTTTACACTTTTGGATTCACGGGTTTGAATCACGAGCGATCCGTATTGAATTTATGTTAAAAAAGAGCTCTCCGCATGGTACATCGGGGTTTTCAGGTTTCTTCTGCCTCTTTCCATTATCTTTCGTTTCATTTCTGCTGTTTCGAAATATCATTCTAAACATGATCATAAGGCATAGGTGCTGGAATATATAAAGATAACTAATGTGTAACTTAAAGAGAATTGATTTTCTTCAAACAGACTTCTTGTAAAGAAGCAGAACAATAATAAGCATACGAATTCGGTTCCACCATTGCAACTCCATGTTTTCGGGAAGCAGAGCAATGTTCATATCTTAATCCATCTACAATATGTAGCGTGTACTCCTCTTTTACGTCTATGTACCTTGTGTTTAAAGACGTCCCATCCGGTGAGACCTATTGCTTCAGTTGAAGCCCGCGTTTTACCATCCACTAACATCCACACAGTCCACACCTCAGTCTTACCATCCACAGCTGCCATGTGGCTCGTTAGCCCATTAACATGACAACTGTTCACATCAGATTCCTTTTCAACTAACATGCATCCCACTCTCTCGGAAAATAACTAAGCCGTTTTTAAAGTAAAGTTTGAGAAACTTAAATTGTCATTTAATGTTAAAGTCCAAAGAGAAAGTAAAAAAAATAACGGGAATCAAAAGAAAGTTTCAATGATTTAAGTTGCAATCATGTAAGATTTCTATGAAAGATCGGTGTAATTTCAAACTGGAAGTTTTCTAATTCGATGAAGACTAATTCTAATGAACTAATTGAACTCAAAACGTAATTTTAACAATAAATCAGATTTCGCATTCAAAGAAGTTATTTGAAGTATGATAAATATAATTTCTTGCCGTTCCGGCGGCCGAGATCGTTAAGGCAGTATTGCCGTAGCGAAGTCGGAACGAAGGATTGCGGGTTCGAGTCTCACCTCCGGTATGGTTGTATTTGTGATCGTTCTTTCATACCCTATCATCACCGTTTCACATTATCTTCACAATTATCATAACGTTAAATCTAGTATGGTCGCTAATGATTTAGATGTTAATGCAACCTTAACAAAAACAAAACCTGAATATATTTGAGAATAACGAGATTGCTTCGTAAACAATAATTTATTCACCTTTGAATAATCTTGAATGACCAAAAATGATTATCCAAATTATTTTACAGTACCGAATAACTAGCATAAATGGGTTGGGACATGTCGTCGCCCGGCGCGATGTCTGCCTGAAGAGCGACGCAAAGCGGCCAGCGCCTGGCGCGACGTGGCTAGGCAACCCGTGCGACGGGAGTGCGCGGCGGGCCCGCCGCCCTCCAGGTGCCACCTGCGCCGCCCGTAAATCTCTCTCCTTGGCCCGGGAGAGGACGCAGAGGGAGGGGAGTCGCCACGGGCGCGGGACGCAGAGACCGAGCGAGGGCTGTGGTGAATGGATAGCGAGAAATATGGCTACAATGATCGGGGACACAGTTTCTCGGAAAGGAAGGGGCCAGATGAGAGCAACCAAAGAGTAAAAGGGTGCTCTATCAAACGCACCGTTAAAAGTTTGCAAACGTAATGCGCTCCTCTCGTAAAATATTCTTTAGATCCACACCAAAGTACATGTTTTATCACCAGGAACACATTTTAAAACGATGAACGAAATGAGAAAGTTTATAGTTTATCACCTGGGATTATTTAAGAAGAAAACGTTATTAAATTATTAAATAAAGTAATTTTGAGTTCGATGGTTCCTTTTAGCATCCAGTCCACTGCCTGGATTTGTCACCCTTATCGGTCGTTACCGCGGATTACTTGCATCAATCCCACGAGGAAACGGGCATTAAGCAAAGGACCATGAATCACGTACGGTCCTGTGTCTTTATAAGGAGATTCGGGTTGATCTCTCGTTCTCAAATGGACAAAACCTCCATTAACAATGCCAAAGCAGCAGCGACAAGCTGCGAGATGACAGAGAGTGTTTTGTGATGAGTTGACAGTAATAATAGTTATATTTACCCACATCAGAAAATATTATTTAATTGTGTCAGGGAGGCGGGGTCCATCGCTCGCTGGGGGATCGGAGAGGCACCTGTGCCAGACAACGAGCTCAACGCCTCATGGCGGAGAGAACAGTCCGTCCGCACGCCGCCGCGGAGCAAAGTTTTGGGCCAACTTTTGTAACGGATTACTTTACTGGCCATATTGTGGCTAGGTTGTGTGTATCTCATTTTAAGCTAAGAACTAACCTCATGATTGTTTGTATTTGATGAACATGTAGTATGTACCTGGAACAATAAACTGTTTTGTTGGAACACTGTCAAGTTATTACCAACTGACTTCGAATATACATTAAGAAACTTTAATATCACTTTAATGATGGTAGTACTCAAATGTATAATTTACCAACACAATAAATGCAGCACCAAATAACACACACAAAAAGTATCTTTTTGTAGTATGCTGTCACACAGATTCAGACACGTACGAAAATATGCGATTTATGCCAGAGTCGAAATGGAACACCAAGAGATGATATTGGTGGCTGAAGAGACAAAGAGATCAGCGTGAGAGATGCTCCAAAGCAAGCGCATTTAAGTGATACAAAATGGAGAGCCATTAATCAAACTCGTGAATAGCCAGCCTGGTTATTCTACTTCCAATTGTTTCTGTGGTGTTGCGAGGCTTGAAACAGAGACACTAGCGCATCGCACAACGCGTCCTTCGAATGGAACAGGATAGCTCCAAAGTGGCAACATTCATTTTTTAAAGCATGTGTAAAGAAAAGAGCGGGAGCGCGGCACTTATGCGGGATTCAAATATTGTCTTAATTTTTGCTGCTGAAATTTCAATAACCTAAAGCGTTTCCTTGGCCCCATTGTAATGAGCCAAAATTATAAGAGTAGCAAATAATGTACAAAGTGATGGATATTGGTCGAGGAAAACATGATGATGAAACAAAAATTAAAATTTGACTGCAATGACTGCTTTTTTCTGCAATGACACACTGGTAAATTGTTATTATTCAATGTTATTCTTCATGTTCACGACGGTAAGCAATGAAATTATCCTGAGTGATTTTACGAATGTAAATAAATATATTTCTTTTCTGTTTCACTGGCTTTCAGATTATTTTTAGATAACTAGAGTATAATTTCGGTACCGTCTCCTAGCATTGTGCATACCCTCTATGACTTGTAAAAACCGAAATAATAGTCATAGAAAACACACACAATTGTACAATTTTATGCTTTTTCTAGAGGTTTCTTATAACGTTATGTATTACAAATATTAATTCGATAGAGAAAATAAAATGAGAATACTTATTCCGTATCTTCGGTGTCATATTGCTTCTGAGAACTTGATCGGAGAAGAAGGCTGTCGCAGGAGCGCGAGGGTGAGGGCGAGGTGGCGGAAGGGAGCGTGGGCGGACGTCTGGGGAGGCAGCGCAGAGTGGGCGTGGGCGTGGGCGAGGACGAATAGAGGACGACCGCACACGTTTCCATGGCGACACCCCAAGCCTCCCTCCTCGCTCTCAGCCCACGCGCAGTGTGCCGCGTGTTGCCAAGGAGAAGAGGTTTTCAACTTTTTAACCATTACATCGACCAAAAGCATCACTTACGTCTTTCTTCATCTCAGCATTAAAAACAAGTTATTTGCAACTGGAAATTTTGACTTCAATACAATATACGTAAATACTAAGTTTGTCAATTAGAGAGATTATACAAACAATACTTTGATATTTCATTTAATTTCTCACTATCGTGTGCGTAATGGTACAAGTATCTAAAAAAAGTGAGACACTTGAGAGTACACAGATTTTCGAACATTTATACGGAATATCAATATTCTTTATGAAGATTGAATTTAATACTGACTTACCGTCAAAACAAAACCTAATACAATAAAACATTTTATTTACGCATGAAAAGCATCCTTTTCTAATGCTAAGGTAATTTCGAGTGCTGCACTTTTTCACTTACGGATGGGTGAAATATTATTTTATTCTGTATGAAAATAAGTAAGTATTGACTTACTTTTACAGTTCAGAACGAAGGTTCAATTTCTCACTTCTACTCCATACTAACCCTTCACCGACATTAATTTTTATAAAGAGGGCATTTTTTACTAGCTGACCACTTCGTCGTACCTTAACCCATGCACAAAAATTCCATCACTATTTAATGTGTTTGATGATGAAAAGAGAAACGATTAATATCTCACACCCTTTCGATAGTTGTTGCTACGACAACGAAGTTTGTTGAACGTCATTCAAACATATTACTTCTGACATGGACTAAGAATGCAGCAAGGTGTTGAGTTTTCTTAATGGAGGTCTTAAAAGTTAAATATACTAACATTTATAACTTTTAAAAAATAAACTTTACTGAAGATTTCTACATAGCATTTTATTGCCGTCGCTAATACACTAAACAAGGTTTGAAAGTCTATCAATAATCGCAACAATGCAATCAAAAGTCTTGCCAACTCGGCTTACCTGTTGATCCGGACTTTCGTTACCATTTCTGTAATACCTCAATAATTTTATCACTAATTGTCATAAATTACTCTGATATTTTTTTACCAGTCATTCAAACGACCTCGCATCCTTTCACGCACAATGTAGCTTATCACCATTTCAAGTTCGCAACTTACTCCAATTTGCACACTTCTTTTGGTCGACATGTAACGTGACATCAAGCTTTCTCTACACCACCCTGCACTACACTGCACTCCAACTACATTACACTTTATTGGCCCCGCCCTGCTCCTCCTCATTCCACCGGCGCTGCGCCGCCCCCAAACGCAGCACTCCCCGGCCCTGATTTATTCGCGCCATTCCCTTCACCCCACTGTTACCCCCTGTTATTACAGCAGGGAGTGCGCAGGCGGCGTCGGTCGCCGGGCACCTGCGCACCGCGCGCCCACGGGCTGCCCTGCGCATGGGAGCAGAGAGGCAGGGAAAGGAAGGACAGT